TCTCTCTCTCTCTCTCTCTCTCTCTCTCTCTCTCTCTCTCTCTCTCTTCCAAGGTGGCTTTGAGCTTGCTTTGCTGTACTTGAGGATAACCTTGAACTTTTGATCCTCTTGCCTTCCCCTCCTGACTGTTGGGATTATATGCTTGAGCCACCAGTCCTTAGTGGGCAAGCTCATTCCTGTGCTGGGAGACAGATTTCTAGTTCATTGCTTTAACCACTTAGCTACAATTACATTAATCAGAATTCTTTCTTTTTCTTCTTTTTATTTATTATTTGTGTCTTTCTTATCACACATCTCCATCTCATTCATTTCCCCATCACTTTGGATTCACTCTCTGCCCTTACAACCCCACCCCAATAAAATTAAATTAAATTTAAGGGAAAAAAGAAAAAAAGAGAAGGAAAACCAATCATTCTCATGATGTCATCATGGAAGCTGCAGTGTGACACAGTGAGTCACACGGTGAGCCCTTTATCCCTAACTCTTTACTTGTAAGTTTCATTGCAAAGAGTCATTGGTCTGGTTCAAGGCCTCTGGTTTCTGCTACACTAGCGATGCTGGTCCCTCACTGGAACTCCTCTTGGTTATCCTGCCATTGCTCTGTGTCATGGAATCCTGCAGCTTTGAGTCTGTAGGACTGACCCCTTCACATGCTCCAGCAGATCACAGATGGGGTGGATGCTGTAGTGGGCTGACACATAACCCTGGTTTTGGGTAGTTGCAGGGTTGGTCAGCTTGTCAACTCTCCCTTGTCCCCCACCACCAGGAGAGTTCTTCTGCATTGATAATGCAAGGTGCAAGGGGTGGGGCAAATTCTCCAGCTGTCCTGTCTTCAGGGTTGGATCCCTCACACCTACACCTTCAGGGCTGTTAGCAGAGGCCGCTTGTTCAGTCCTGGCTGCCCAGACTAGGAAATAATCACATAGAAACTATATTATTTAAACCACTGCTAGGCCAATCACTTAAGCATATTGCTAGCTAGCTCTTATCTCTTTGGTTAACCCATTTCTATTATTTTGTATTTTGCCATGAGGCTCATGGTTTACTGGCAAGGTTCCGGAATGTCTGTCCCTGCCTGTGGCTACATGGCTTCTCCCTGACTCCGCCTACTTTCTTTCTATGTATCTCTTTCACCCTGGCTATATTCTGTTAAACCATTGGCCCAAAGCAGCTTCTTTATTCATTAACCAATAAAAGCAACACATGTACAGAAGGACCTCCCACACCACATGGCCAGCTCTATTGTGTTGTCCAGGTGTGGCATAGGGGCCACTTTCCCTAGTGCTGCAGCTGATGAGGGGCAGGGACTGTTCTCCTGTTTTTATGACCTCAGGGCCAGCTCTCCCACCTGTCTCAGGCATTGCTGGGCAGTGCGTATCTCTCTCCTGCCCATGCCGCCATATGACAGGTTAAGTAATGGGGACAGCTCTTCTATGCTCAGAATATCGGGACTGGCTCACCCATGCCTCTGACAATGGGGTTGGCTCAGTTGTGTTGCCCGCTTGAGGTGCAGGGCCTGCTCTCCTGAGTGTTGGCAGTTGGTGGTGGGCAGGGGCGGGTCTCCTGTCAGTCTTACCTCAAGGCCAGCTCCCTCATCTGCTTCAGGTATTGATGGGGCTGGCATCTCTCCCCCACCCATGCTGTCACATGACAGATGAGTAATGGGGACAGTTCTCCTGTGCTCACAACTTTGGGACTGGCTCACCCGCACCTCTCCCAACGTGATTGCACAGGTTAGGTAATCAGAATTCTTACACTCACAAAATAA